AAAGCCTTCATCGTACATTTTGTGTTTGTGAGAATTTGGTTCAAGGTGTAGCTGTGGTCAGCCATGGCTCCAAAAAAGGTGATGAAGGTAGTGAAAAAAGGGAAACCAAAGGGCAAGTCCTTGACAAAAGGAAAAGGCATTCTCAAAAATCCCTTGACAAAAGGGAAAGGAAGTGGTGCACACACCCTGAAAAAGACAAATCTAAACAAACTGGGCAAGCTCACCTTAGCAGACAAAGTCCAGAAGGCAAGTGAAGGAGCTGCAAACCCAGAAGAAGCAGCCACAAACCTCAAAGGTTTGTGCAATACCCAAGAAGCAGCCTGATGACTTGGTCATGGGGCAGCATGCTTTCCAAGCAGAGCTGCCTCAATACACATCTCCTGATTTGTGCCATACCCAAGAGCTGCACACTGCCCAGCACATGGCCTGTGTTGGACGCTTGGGTTGCATGGTCTTTTGAGGCTTTGGCCAAGGGTTGGCGCCCCTGTGAAGACCTTTGGGGCAAGGGGAGTTGGCGTCCTTTGCTGGCAAGCCCTCGACTAAAGGGCACCACAGGGCAGCACTGTGGTCAATACAGGGTGATGCTGAATTTTACTCAAAAGTCCTCAAAGTTGGGCCTCCTGACAAGTCAGTCAAGATATTGAAAGCATCAGAGCAAGACTACAAATATGTGAGCCCAGCAGAGGCACTCCTTGCCAAAAGGAGCAATCATGCACTCTTTGGAATCCCTGGTGTTTCAACAGCTATGATCAGGGGTGATGCCCTGCACATATTGTACTGCAAGGGTGTTGGGTCGCACCTGGCAGGCAGCCTGCTACATTACATGGCCTTCTATGATTGGCCTAACAGGCAGAAAGTCTCAGCCTCCAAGAGGATCCAAGTGCTATTTGCCAAAGTGAGAGACATCTATTCTGAAAGAGGAATTTCCAACAGACTGACCAACCTCAGACTGTCGATGATCACAGACACTCAGTCTCGTTTCAAGGCCTTCCCAGTCTTGGAATGCAAGGCTGCAGAATGCAAATGGTTTCTGCCAGTGTTGGAGCAGGTTCTGGCAGATTGCCTGGATCTTAGAGTTGAAGTCCACCAAAGCATGATACAGTGCTGCAAAGCCTTCAACCAGTTGGTGGAGCACTTCGATGGCTGTGGTGCTTTTCTCAATGCTGCAGAGTTTGCAGCAGCACAGGAGCTTTCCACAAGCTTTCTCAACCACTACAGTAGGTTGAACTGCTGGGCAGCAGAAGAAGGAAGGAAGCTCTTTCACATCACCTTCAAGTTCCACTCCATGCTCCATTTGGTTCAGAACAGCAAATGGATGAACATCAGGCTGCATGCCAACTATAGAGCAGAATCCTTTGTGGGGCAGATCTCTGTCATTGGCCACAGTGTGAGCTTTGGAAACAAAGCCACAAGAGTTTGCACAAAACTCATGCAGATGTACTTGGTACAGGCCTGGCTTTGGCAATTAGCCAGAGGATGACTGTGACCCTTAGGTGTGAAAACCTTGTCAAAAGGTTGAACACCTTGGCAAAAGGTGTGGGCACCTTCATGTGAACACCTTGACAAAAGGTATGAACACCTTGGCAAAAGGTGTGGACACCTTGGCAAAAGGTGTAGACACCTTGGCAAAAGGTGTGTGGACACCTTGACAAAAGGTTTGTGGACACCTTGACAAAAGGTGTGAACACCTTGGCAAAAGGTGTGGGCACCTTGATAAAAGGTGTGAACACCTTGGCAAAAGGTTGGAACACCTTGGCAAAAGGTGTCAACCCCTTGGCAAAAGGGTGGAGCACTTTGACAAACAAAATACAAAGATCAGTTTCACTTGCATATCTTGAAGAGATTGCATGAAAAAGTACATAAATCATTGATGGTCTAATTGATTTTGTTATTGATTTTGTTATTGATATAATCAATAGAAAAACAAAAAAATATTGATTTTCAATGTTTTTTCTATTGAAAATGTAGTCTTCCAAATCAATTAAAATAATTGATTTGGAAGACTACAAAATCAATTATTTTGAGCTTATTGATTAGAATCAATAACCGATGCTCAGGGTAGTATATAGTAGTCGCCGTCGTCGTCGTAATCGTAGCAGCAGTAGTCGTAGTAGTGGTAGCAGTAGTACAATTAGTAGAAGCAGTAGTAGTAGTAGTAGTAGTAGTTGTAGCAGCAGTCGTAGTAAGTATAAGTAGAAGTAGAAGTAGTAGTAGTAGTACTAGTAGTAGTAGTAGTAGTGGTAGTAGTAGTAGTAGGAGTAGTAGTAGCAGTAAACAACAGGTAGCAGTACTACAATACGGGGTTGCACGAAGGGCCCGCACCTACCACAATGTTAGTAGAACTTGTTTTTGCTAAACCTTTCATTTATTCAAAGGCCTTCGGAATCGGCCGGGAATTTGTTCCGTCAACCCCCTAACGTGCACTGATTCCGCTGGGGCATGGGGGTGATATGTTTGACTCTACTGAAGGCCTAAGAGGGATAGTTTGTTCTAAGGCTTCCAAGGGCACCCACCTTGCCAGGTCAACCACCCATGCTGCCATCAAAACATCCATGAGTCTTGAGGAAACCTCATTTTTTTCAGGGTTCCGACTGCCACTTGTGGCTAGCTCTTTTGGGGAGTAATTCTGTACAACTGTACAACTATTCGCGAAGAAGCGGGCATACACATATATATATATATATATGTTTATATAAATATACACATATAATTCCACATATATATATATATAGAGGTCATAGAAGTGCATATTACAGCAAACCTGTAACTCAATGCATGTTCTTTTCCGGCAATGTAAGTGCAAACGATGAAGCCGAGCGACCCAGCGCCAGGCACGCGTGTGCTCATTTGAGACCGCCTTTCAGGTGTGGGAAGCTGCCCAGACGGGCAACCATCCGGCCTCCAATCGAATGCAACGAAGTTGAACCAGTTTCTCCAAAATTGCAGAAAGGGAGACTTAAAAGTGGTAGGTGGTGACAGTGAGGCCTGGTCAAAAGTTGTCGCTATCAACTGGCTCCCACCCTTCAAGTCGCCCATCGGTGAACTCCGGTCGTACCTTCGGCTTGCGTGTCTCCTTCATCGTCACAGACGAGGATAAGCCTTAAGATGTCCTTCCTAAGGCTTCATGCCCGGTCATTCCATCCACTTCCATTTGAGTGAGTTTGCGTGTGCTCCATGTGAGTAGCAGATTTTGGTTGGTTTATGCATCTATCAAGGAGCTACAAAAGCGGAACTGCTCCAACGATGCGTAGTGTAAGCTGTTTTGCTTTGGGGGCGGAACGTTCCACCTTGTGGGCCCTTGCGGTATACAGTGGTTTCTGATGGTTTCTGAGTAGATTGCACTACCCCCAGAAGGTTAGATGGGGGTCCATATGAACTGAACCACCTCTCGGGGATGGTGCCATCTACTCTGAATCATACCTCAGGCGTATGCAGGATGTCTCCAGCGGTTGCATTTGTGCGAAAGACCGCCCAGGCTTCGGCAGCTGGAAAGCGTAAGCGTCAAAAGCGCCAAATAATTCAGTGCAAGTGTAAAATTATGGCAGATGGCCTGGTAGGGTGATGAAAATCATCCTCCGCTTTATTGACTTGGTGTTTTTTTGGTGTGCTTCTTTTTGTTGGATGATGTTTGCCAGTGCAAGACGTGGATTTGTGTTGAGAACGTTGCTGGTTCTTGTTGGGTGTGAATTGCAGTGATTCCGGGTCTTTGTGCTCTTGGTTAGAGGCTGCACCATCAGTCTCAAAATGATTGTAGAAATGGAAAACGCAAAAAACACATGGCTGCCGTGGGCTCGAGGTTGGGCAGGCAAGTGTTTACCAATCTTCTAGTCCACCAGATTCTGGGCCCAGCTGTTGCACATCAGAACCGGGCCGGGTGCGTTCTGCAGAACGACTGCTTCAGGTCGATACACGGGATCTCCAGTTGAGGGGGGGGTCGACGCACCGCATGGGAGATGACAATGGTTGGTTGGTTGATTTGGGCCAAAGGATGTGGAGAAGGGCCGGTTTGGGGTTGTGTCGCATGACCGTTGACTGTCGGTAAAGGATCATCATGACTTTTGAGAGAGCTCGATTTGCAATTCAACCATCATCATCCACTGGGCCCTTATACCTAAGGCTCTTTAAGCTTTGGTGGATTTGAGAAGTAGGGACATAGCACAGCAAACAGTTTCTCCACCCCAAACCACTCTAGACGGCTCCAATTAAAGAGGGGAAAGACTGAACGAATCCGACCTCCTGGCCACAGCTTTGTCAAAAGAGTGACATGAACCGAAGCAGCAAGATGACATTCCGAACTGACCTGGCCAAGCGAAATCGCGCCATAGTTTCCAAAACGTGTTCTATCAAACGAGCGGAGAAAACATGAGAAAACCATCGCTTGGTGACCCCTGGTCGGCGGAGTCACCTCTTTTCGTTTGCTGGACGTTTTGCAAACAGACCGCAGGATGTTAAACATCTATTTCTATATGTTCTTTTTGAATGCCTAAGCCCTAAGCCCCCGGGCCTTTGGAAGCCTCAGAAAAGCTAAGACCGAAAGGCCACAAGAGCCGTCGCGGAATCGCACGCGTCACGTGCATGGATGGAGGGCCAGTTGCAGGTGGGGACGAGCAGCTTGGGGCGCCTGAACGGGCCTCCCACGGATGAGTCGGTCCAAGTCCTTCAATGGCTGGCTGTGGGCTGTGGTTTCCGGTCATGGCACCCCAGCTACGCAGTTCATTTGTACCCCCAAGTTAATGTAGACTCTTGATTCATAAGCCCCCCCTGTGAAGAGGTTTTTCAATCCCTTCCACCTTCACCCGTCATAGCACGACAAGGGGTTGTGTGGCTGCGACTCGTCCGCAAGTGTGTGCATCCAAATGGGGTGGGTTGATCAAGAGTCCGCAAAAAACCTTGTGTCCTTGGAGTCCGCACCATCGCCACCCAGTCGAAATAAAGAGTGTTGAAACAGGACAGCTCGTTTGTACTCCCGAGCTGTTGGTGAATCTCCATGTGGGTTCCCCATGAAGCTCCATGGCGCAGCATGGCGCAGCTCCGCAGCGAGCGATTGTCAGGTGAAGATCGAGCGTTTAAGCGGAGAGCGCTTAGAGTTTCAGCTCCCGGCCACCGCCAAGATCAGTGACCTGCTGCTCAGACTTGAAGAAAAGAACCCAGCATTCTGAAGATATAGGTGCATGTTCTGTATTTTTATGTATATATATATATATGTTTGTCGGTTTTTACGTTTTAATAGTTACCACATATACGCCATCCCAGTGGTAAAGCACGGAGGATGCGTGATGCGTGGAGATGCTGTCTCCTTTCAAAGACCACGTAGACCTTAGCAGCAATATGCAGCAATTATACCATTAGCACCCACAGAGGGCCTAGAAGGACTGTAAACAGTTTTGGGTATTAAGAGGTGTGTTGCGTAATTCTTTTCGATGTCGTCACAATATATCAAAGGTGCCAGCAGGGGAGCCACCTGGCCTGCAATCGAACCAGAAAGATGAGGGGGCAGGTTCTGAACGATTCCAATCTCCTCGTGGGCGCCCCAAAACCTGGTTTGGCAGGTGGGTGATGTTTTATTTTCATGAAATCCCCTCCTGGGGATTGGTGTCCCGGTTCCTCCAGAGCATGAGGTTCCCACCCCAGCTTGGAACCTCAGCGGATCCGACCGTGGCATATCCTCGGATCAATTCCCATGTTGCTCCATGATCACCCTGGACATGGGTCAAGACACAGGGCAAAATCACTTTCGGCGCGACAAAGGACGATGACAGGCCCAGACCACCTGCAGCTGAAAGACCATCAAGATATGTTGGTGTTCCTCAGAAAGCCAAGTTGCCAAGCTCAGCCACCACGGCATGGCAGCATTCTTCTTCCGGTGGTAGCCTCTCAGGAAGCTGCTGTTGCAAGAAACCTGTGGCGCTCCATACTTTTGCCGCTCAGCTGGGACTAGCTGAGGGGAAGAACAACATATATAATCTATATAATATTGTACTATTAACTGTAACAGTCAGTAAACAATTATATTTTTTTACGAAGCCTGTAGTAAGCATCATCATCCACTGTTACTGGTGATGGGCTAGACCCAATTTATACCCTGACAGCATTCATCGATCGGGTCTACTATGTTCGTTCGGGTTGGAATAGGAGATGGCCTCCAGAGCCGCAGAAACCAGACTCATCCACTTGAAGTGACTTGACTTTTATCAAAACTGATTGAATCCTAAACGTACGTGGCATTCCTCATCCAAAGATCCAAAGCACTTTTTGTTTGCAAGACACTGAGGGACCTGAGGGGTGCTTGAAAACCAGCTAAGCCGAACGGCAGAATGTCATGGAATCCAACCTGATTGGTGGAAGTCGGTGGAAGTCAATTGTTTGCTTTCACAGTGGTCTACCACAAAGATTTGGCGCCATTGCGGAGTTTCAACGGCCTTCATACTCTAGATGGTCCAAGTGGGCGGTTGAAAGATTTCGCCTTGGGTTGAAAGAACACTTGCTGGCCATGGTTCAAGAAGACTTTCTTTGGGCTTTTCTTGGACTTTGTTACTAGGTAAGTTGTTCAATTTACACAAAAAAATAAAGTGATTCAGGACTCACCACCCAGGACATCATTCCATGTAGCTGGAATTGCCGAAGAGTCTCTACTTGCACGTCGATGGCGAGTGTTTTTTTTCCCCCTGACGAGGGCACGAACTTGGGCAATTATATAAGCAAACTGATATCGATGATTAATAATCTTATATTTCTTAGAATCTCCAGAATGTCCGAGGCTGCAACTCAACTGCTTGTTGTTTTTTGCGGTTTTGTTGCTGCACATTGCTCGGATGTTCTTACTTGATCAGCAACAAGAACCTCTCTTTGTTCATCACCACTCACCATGCACATCTCGCAACTTCAGCACCTCAACCCCCATCGTCCAGGAGGACCAGCCTCGTTTCCCGAGCATCCCTTCGTCGCGGACCCGAGGTCAAAAGCTCATGTGGCGTCACTCCTTGCTGAAGAATGCAGAGCCTTGGCTTCGGAACAGTGGATGGAGGAAAGGACGAGGAAACACGGAACGGGTTTGTGAGGTTGGAAGACTGATGTATATATACATGAAATATCATGGACATGTGGTGTGAGTGATGGAAGTAGTGATGTATTTTAGATGCATTTGGTCTCATGTGGTGACGATATACGATACCCGATGCATTTTTCTCAAAGGCATCCAGGTTCAACCGTGGCTGATGGTACGGAGAACCTTGCTCCGCTTTTGGTTAAGGTGCCCCATTCGCACCATTCGCACCATGCACCGCCAATTCCGCTGAGAAAGGGAGGAGGTACAACCGCCCTTGGTGGTGATGAGGCAGCGGAATCCATCCTGGTCTGCGGTGTCCATGAGTCGTTCTGCCAGACTTCAGCGTTTGAAAGTACTTCAATGACCAATGACCAAGACTCTGTTTCAGTAGGGAGAGCCCAACCCCATGGCTAATGGGACTGGAATATGTTACAGCTATGGCTTTGTCCTATTATTTGTAGAGTCGTCAGTAAACAATTGTCACTATTTTTGAACAGGCCTTTACTATAATAGTTATCATCCACGGCTTTTTTTGGCATTAGGATAGGCCCCACATATAATGATTACCATTATTACCGACCTTGACCCCTCAAACCACCCCGTATAGATAAATATGCCATACATGAAGTGTTGTGAACAGCATCAGAAGGGTGACAGTGACAGAAATCCATCGAAATTCAAAGTTCCGAACCCCCATGGCATCCAAGTCCTAGCCTTCCAAAGGACTGTTTGTTAAAGAACCCCCTTCGGTGAGTGGAGAAAGGGCAATTTCGAAATTGATTCTGCAGCCATCTTCATTCCTCTTTGGGTGGACACGTCACGCCTCAACCCAAAAACCGCGTGTTTGAGAACGCGGAACTGCGCGTTGGATGCCGCTGAGGACACTTTAGCAAGCCTCACTCCACCCCTTTGCCCGGTCCCCGACCGAAGGGTTGAAGGACACGCGCGATGCGCCGCGCGTTCAGCCCAGCCACAGCGTCCGTTCTTCCGTGCGAACCGAGAGTGAAGCGAGGTTGATTGAATAAGATGTTTGCTTGAAAAAGCCATGCATGTATGTGATGTGTGACATTATGTGACATGTCCCTCTTGGATGTCCATGTTGTTGGTGTAGCTTGATGGTATGCGGACAGGTATGCATGTCCAAGATTGTTTAAGTGTATTGTTGTGGTAGGCCAAGCTATTGGTGAGGACCTGGGCAGAAGAGGTTGACCATGGGTTGTCAATCCATTGTGCAACACAACATGGAGAGACTCAGACGTCTCCTCCGGACATGCAGCCCAATGCATCAAAACCATTCAAAACCATATTAAACCACTTTGGCCCTTGGAGATCTTCAAGTACTATAAGTGGTGTAGTGATGCGTATAGCGTAGTTCAGCCACGGACCATTACCGGTGACCCATTGCCGCGGAAGATCTTGGAGGTGAGTTTCCTCTACACTCTACTCTTCCAGACGTCCGCACAAAAAAGCACCTTCCCCCCCGCCCCCGCCAAATCGACCTCTTCCCTTCCCTCCGTCCCTGGCCCTTCGCGTCTGCTCAAGAGATCCGGTCCTCCCGCCGAGCTCGCTCGGTCGGCGTCGGCGTCGTTCGACCAGCGCTGAGGCTTGAGCCTGATCCAAGACGCCTTTCACCCGGAGGCCGCCAAGGCACTGCGCGACGCCGCCCGGCAGGGCGACCTGCCGGGCGCGGAGCGGGCGCTGCATGTGCCGGCGGATCCGAACCAGGCAGCTGGGAAGGGAAGAATTGGAAGGAGCTAGCTGAGAGGGTAGGAGGATGAGTGGTGAGTAGGATGAGTGTAGGATGAGTAGGTGGGCATGAAGAGTTCAGAGGTGAGGTAAAGTTCTTCTAACCCGAAGAATCCCGGCCTGAAATGCTGGGAAGGGTCGCATGCGGGTCCGGACCCCTGCACCTTCATGTCGGGGTCACCTGGCTGGAAGCCCCTACACTACTAAGGGACCTCCATTGGACACCCCTTGGAGGGTCCCGCCGAGGTGGATGATCATGGTTGGACTCCGTTGATCAGTGCTGCACAAGCTGGGCAAGCTGAGGCACTGTGGATGGGCTTGCGACATCAATGCTGACTTAAACGATGAATCAACCCTCCCGAATGGAGATGCAAAACCATTCTGGTGGGGGGATGTTTTTTGTTCAACACGATGGATGCGCTACTCGTACATCGCAAGGGGTATAGTATAGCCGTCTATGCAACTTAAACCATGCGTCGATGGATCCGACTTCAAAGGCACAGCCAACCACCGAAATCTGATCTTTGGGGGTGTCACCGAAATCTGAGCCCCCGGCAACTGTAACAGTTGGTAAACCATGGTCAACCATGTTCACTACTATATTTTAGAGATGTTTGCCCTTACTAACCATCATCATCTAATTACTGTTTCAGGGAATAGATGGGAATAAGACCCACAAGATCCACAAGAGAGCTTGAGGAACCCTATAGACTATCTCATGTTATAGGTCCAAGCCCTACGTGCCTCCCGTGCCTCTCGCCCACTTTCAGAGAGCCTCCACCGAAGTCGCTGTTCCGGACAGGTGCTCCGGTTGCTGGTCCGCGCCGCTGCCCAGCTGGAGCGTGCTACGGTGCACGGGCGCACGCCGCTCTTCGTGGCCTGCCAACGAGGGAGACTTGGAGATACAGTAGAGGTTTTTATGTTCGATCAGGGTGGAGTCCCAATTCAGAAAAGCGTAGAAAAGTTCTAGTATTCTATTTCAGTTTGGACCTGGCTTTGATCAATAGAGGTTTCGATCTTCATTTGATTGGTTTAGTCCCTGGGACTGCTGTATCACTATGGCTGGGTCAATGCTGTGTTTTTTAAGGCGAGAGTTCGCACAGGTTACCACCCTAAGAATCCTTGGGCCAGGAGGATGAGTGACCAGTGGTGAGTAGGATGAGTAGCTTGGAGAGACAAGAGGTGATGTAAAGCTGTTTTATCCGAGGTTGGGTCCGACCCCTGCCATGGAGGGTCCAAGGATTCTTGTTTGAGGGCTCCAACTAGCTCCGCTCCTGTTCGGTGGTTGCTGGGGGGGGTCCCCTGTAAGAGGGAAGATTATACGCTATGCGCCGAGTAGTTTGGCTTAAGATATGTTCAGCCAGCATAGTGCAAATAAATAATATGTAACAGGTACTATATCAAAATATATAGCATAAATGCAGCTGTCCTCCAAGATCTCCAGATTTCCAGATGATTTAAAAGTTTGAAATAATGAACAGTTGTTTAAGCAAAACTATATGGGCTGGGTGTTTTTTTTTATGCTAATGGTTTTTTTCTTATGCTCACAGCGGGGTTGGTGTGCTTTTGGGGTATGGGTTTCTTTTTTATGCTTATAGTATCTTATAGTGCTTTTTTATGCTAATGGTTTTTTCTGTTATGCTTGCAGTTCTTTCTTTTATGCTCCTGGTTTCTTTCTTTATGCTAATGGTTTCTTTATTTATGCTAAGGGTTATTTTTTTATGCGGCACTGTGGGAAGAGGTCGCGTTGGGGGGGTCCTAGTGCAGAATGTAATTGTCAGGAGGGTTTAGTGCAGAATGTAATTGTCGGGAGGCTTTAGTACAGAAAGTAATTTTCGAGAGGTTTTAGTACAGCAAGTAATTGTCGGGAGGTTTGAGTACAGAAAGTAATTGTCGGGAGGTTTTAGTACAGAACGTAATTGTCGGGGGGGCTTTAGTACCGAATGTAATGGTCAGGGAGTCGGGGGCCTTTAGTATCGAATGTAAGCGTCGGGGTGTTACCGAATGTAATCGTCGGGGAGTTCTAGTAATCATTTGGCTCCAGACTTTTTCTGCCCAATATTGCACTGCGTGGCATAAAAAAAAGGTCTGCTCGTCGTTGCTCGCGCACTTACATCGTGAGAGGGTCTTCCAAGTTGACTGACCCTTTGGTGAGCCACCCGAGGGTAAAATTTAGAGAAGGATGTTGCCATTTCAACTTGACTCACCCTTTTGTGGGCAAGGCAGGGGTAAAATTTAGAGAAGGAAGTGGTCATTCCAAGTTGACTCACCCGTTGGTGAGCCACCCGAGGGTAAAATTTAGAGAAGGATGTTGCCATTTCAACTTGACTCACCCTTTTGTGGGCAGGGGTAAAATTTAGAGAAGGATGTTGCCATTTCAACTTGACTCACCCTTTTGTTGGCAGGGGCAAAAATTTAGAGAAGGATGTTGCTCTTTGGTGAGCAAGGCAGGGGTAAAATTTAGAGAAGGATGTTGCCATTTCAACTTGACTCACCCT